GTTGTAGTCCTCGATGTCAAACTCATCCACGATCTCCTCCGCCTCGTCCATCATGTAGTCCATAGTTCTGCTGTTGAGAAGCCCTGACGGCTTCAGCCTCAGGGATGATGTTCAGCTTTAACCTGCTGAACAGGAACAGCACAAGATCAAAGGGAAGCACTTTCACCAGATGAACACACGAGACTCACGATTCATTTAAAGGATTTTCTGTGTGACGTCTTAATCTTCACAGAGTTGTCTTCGGAGTTATGGAGGACCAGAATGTTCAACACAGCCAAGCTCTTTTTGTGTTAGCTAAACAAAACCTAAACCCCAAGTGCGCTCACATGAGCGTCATGTCACAGGTCATGTGACTCTTCTTCTGTGACCCCTGTGAGGTCTGCTTGCTCCAGTCAGAGAGATTATCAGACAGTAATAAAATGGTCATAAAAATCTATTAAAACTATAAAATATAACCACAAATCCAAATCTGCACATAATACGAGATTAATGCTGCAGGAAATTGTGCAAATTGGCGGTTATTTCTAAGGAGATGGCTGCACAACTTTAAAGTGGCTCCATTTAAGCATTAAAGCTTCCTGTCCCACGGCACACTGACGCTGTGTCCACGTAGGACGGAGGTGACTTCTACAGGGACAAACACACAGCTCCATCCACGAGTGAACAGCAGCTTCAGCTTCGACCTGACACATTTTACATCCCAGTTTGATTTGCTTTAGAAACGTCTCGAGATTATTCACCAAACGGTTTGTTAGAGCACAGAGAAAGTCCTGGATTTAAACAGTAACAAGAGCCCAATATATCCCTGAGGAATACATTACAGACAGCTGTGTTTACAGCAGAGCTCCAACACGATCAGAAACTTCTGCTTTGTAATTTATCAAGAATGTTCACATGACAAACACAGACTCATTACACTGGAGAGAAATCACGTCTGTAAGCTAATAAGCTGCTGTCAGTTCAAAGGGAAATTTATGAAGACAAAGTCACAACTATCTGAACATTTTTTTAAATACTCCAATTATTGCATAATAAATGAATTATTAAGAGAGTTAAAGCCTTAATAATGAATTTATTAATAACCTCAGACCATTTTAAAAAAGGACTTAATTTAAAAACTTGTTCCTCCAAATAAAGTCTGAAACCCGTCTGTTTGCAGGGTGGGAGGAGGACACTGTGGGCGCGCTGCAGCCAAACTACACACACCTGCAGGTGGACTACAAACAGGTCATTCTGCATTACTGAGGCTGTAATGATGAGATCAGGTCCTCAGATTTCCTCACAGACAGAACGAATGCAAACTGAACTGTGTGAGCTGAGTTTTTATATTCAAATCAGCTTCACACAAAGAAACAAGCTGATTAGAAACTGTTTTTGTTCAGTGTTCAGCTGCAGCTTTAACAGCCTGTGGAACATGTCAGCTTTGGCATGATGAAAACTGGCTGTTAACGTGACCTGTGTCAGTTATCATTGATGTTGACGCTTCATCAGTCAAACAATCTGGATCCTTCAGACCAAAGAAACAATGAAAGGTGGGAGAGAAACAGGAAGAAACATCCACCAGGACCAGGCTCAGGCAGGCAGTCGGGGGTGAGGGGTTACTGGCTGGTTCTGAGGGATTTTCTAAACGCGCAAATCAGTCCGTGCATGATGGCATCGCCCCGCCCAACAAAAAGTCACCTGCGCGAATAGATCAGCTGTCGTCGGTTACTGGACTGAGTAACGTCGCCCAACCGTAGTCTGTATACAGTGTTGTTGTCCTTCCTGCTCCTGTCACAGACGACATGTTTCATGTCACAGACACTTTCAAACTGCAGGATTTACGAAGTCACTGCCAAACCCTGACTGTAGCTTCCGGCTTGTGACCGGACACTGTTAGTGGTTCAGGATGAGGGACACACCTGACACATGTTATTCACAGCGGTTCCGTTAAACGCACATTTAACAGCAGCGTCACATGGATGACGAACCCGGAAGTGAAACAGCGCAGACAGTTTTCTTTGAGCTGGCTTTGAGTCGCTGATCACAGAGTTCACCGTGGCTGTCCTTCTCCCCTCTGCAGTCCACAGACACGCACACACTCCGACAGCAAAGCTACAACCACGCTGTGCCAACACTCACCCGCCTCCACCTCCAGCGCACCACCAACTCTGCTCCTTCCGCCTTCCTGTGCTTGTGTAATCACGTGATCAGAATCGCCCCTCCCTTCTCCAAACTCAGTAAATCAGGAGTGTGTGTGTGTGTGTGTCACTGATATTCAGCGTGTGCAGTTTATGAAAACAGTCGCTTGGGTCGATCTGCACGGACAGCAGCTGTTCAGGACTCACGCGGGGCGGGAGACACTGTGACGTTTCACAGGTGAGCTCTCCACCTGCAGGTCTTTGTCTGCAGCGAGCTTTCTGTGTGGCTCCTTCTTCCTGCTGCTCCCCGAGACTAACGACTGTTTCAATTCATTTTCATCTCAGTTCTTCAGTTTTGTTTTGTTTTAAATGTCATTCAAAATGTGAAGATTAGCATTTGTGAGCTTTTCCTCGGTTGAACAAGGACAAATCCAAGAAATAAAAAATGTTCCTGAAGAAAACTGAACGTTTGATGGCAAATATGAGGAGAGAACCTCTCAAAACACAAAAAGTTAAAGCTTGAAATCGATTTCCAGAATAAAGATGAAGGTGGTGTCTGACCGATGTGCGCTGAGGTTCAGGAACAACGCTGACATTAACCAGGCACAATAAATGTTTCAGTTGGTTGTCATTCAGCACATTTATGTTTTACATCATGCAGTGAAATACTCTTTTTTCTTCAGGCCGACTGCACGCCTGCGACAGCATGATGACGGCACGCTGCAGTTTAGGTTTGCTGCAGGCGGACGATTTAAGTTTGGCTGTTTCCTTCATGAATACCAGCAGGACTCAAATAGAAATGTGTTTTATTTGAACGCAACCTTCAACTTTTTGTTTTTATTGCACGCAGAAAATTGTAGTTTTCTCTGCAGCAGCCCATTGATTTCATAAACGCAACACACTGTACTTTTTAACACACATGCAGTGTTTCCCTCATTTTACATGTCAGGGCGGGAGCCACAAAAAACGGCTTCTTGAGCATTTCAGGTTGCCTGGTAACCAGCTGATGAAGAGCACTGATTAGAATTTAACTTTATTGCCGATTCACGTGTAAACATGCAGGCTAATGAAATGCAGTAGAGCAGAGAATGAAAGAAAAGCACTGACACGTGAGAGCGCCTTTAATGATTTTTATTGAAGTTTATAATAACCGCTTTAATGTTGGTCTCAAATTTACTCAAATGTGCATAGAAATGATTATAGAGGAGCACACATCAACATTCACACTTTCTGTGAATCACACTCTAACATATAAAAAGAAAAGCTGCTGTAAAGCTGCACGACTGAACAACAATCCAAAGATTCATCATTCAAAGTCTGTTTTATGTCTGTTTTCTCTTAAAGCTCGCAAACACAAACACAGCTGTAACAGCTGGGACTGTGCCCTACATTATAAACCTAATTGAGGTGACTGTTGTTGTGAGTTCACGCTACACAAATGAAGCTGAATTATAAAGAATTAAATTCATGATTGATTTAAACATGAGCAGATACACAAACACCGAAACTCTGACAGCAAAATGAGGTTCATTCAAAAGTAATGCAGGAACTGGTATTCTGATTACACTGCTGTCTTAACTTTCACTCGAGGCCAAACGCTGGTATTTGACCTTTGACATTTTGGCCCTGTACAGGAGCGCTCCACAGATCATGGCAACAGCAGCAAGAAGACATCCAGCGATGAAGACCAGGTTCAGGTTCAGGTTCAGGTTGTTCCCTGAAGACCACAATAGAACCTCAGCATTGTTCACACTTTAGTGAAAGTCAAACAAAGAAGCTAATGTTAAGAAGCACTTTGTGTTTCCATACCTGCACTCATGCTGGTGTCTGCTGACCTCTTCAAACGCAGAGGACCCTGGGAAACGAAGTGCGCTGCAGTCTGGATGGCAGAGTCCCTCTTTCG